TTATTTGGGAAGTACCATCAGCCCCAACGGGTTGATCTCTGACGAAATCTCAGCACGAATACAGGGGGCTCGTTTCGCATATGCCAGTTTACGCCGACTCTAGCGTAGACGAGATGTTCGACTATCGACCAAAGGGTGGGTGTACTGCTCATCAGTCCGCTCCGTCCTGCTTTATGGCCAGCTGTGAGACCTGGCCACTGAGAGTGGAAGACATGAAAAGACTAGCCGTCTTTGATCATAGGTGCCTGCCTGCATTCTATCTCCCGTGTGAAGTGGTACAATAAGGTGAGCAATATTGAGGTTAGGCGTCCGTCCAGTGCTAGGTAAGCAGGGGAAATCAATCGACGAAGTTGTGAAGTTACAAAGACTGAGATGGTTAGGACATGTGTTACGTATGCCAAGCCATCGCCTCTCTCGACGAGCAATGTTAGCGGATATAGGGTCAGGCTGGAAAAGAGCTAGTGGCGGTCAAACAAAAACATGGCTTCACCAGTCAATGAAATCTATAACAGTTAGTCTAAGCCAGCCACGTAGGAAGGTGTAGACTTCCTGGTCGGGGTCCTCGGGACGGTAAAAATTAATGGTTGGAAGCAATTGGTGACATGGCTCAAAATCGTTCTCAATGGCTGGCTGGCGCAGGTGCATCCACTCCTTGTGACTTATGATTTCCAATGAAACTGTTTTGTTCTTCGTTACTACTATTTCCTTTGTCTCACACCTCTGTTTACTGACTCTAATATGCATTTCTTCTACTTTCTTCTTTTGCTTTGTGTGCTACAAGGAGAGAGTGTGGTGACTTGAACTTCCGCACATATGTGCAAAGTTCTATGTCGAAAACAGACAGACAGAGACAGAATCAAATCGTGGAATGGATGCCTAGTATGAACATCAGTCTCGGTAACTCAGAGAATACTCAAAAGTTGATGCTACTGGATAAAACCTGTAATCATGTGAAAATACCGCAGATAAGGAGAGATACAAAAATGATTGTTCGAAATTCAAGCTTATGAGGTATAAATTTTTGAAAAAGCAGGTCAGAAAAGAGTGTTTGTTTGTTTTTCAACTTCAAAGCTGTATAGTTTTATATAAAAGGTCATGGAAACGCCCATAAAATTCATTTATTAATATCATAATGAATAAATTACGAAACTTAATTAAGTAGTCTTAAGTAATCTAAAAACACTAAATGATAAATATTACTCAGAAATGAGTAATCATTAAAAACTACGTGCTAGGAAAACGGAATCTTGTTCGTAAGATTAAGAGATTCAAAATATGTATAAAGCATATTTTAAAGTTAGATGTTTGGAAAAGAAGGCTCATGGCATACACACGGAAAACCCTGAATTGTGCATGAGTAGGCGATTTTAAAACAAGCAATAAAGGTTAATAAAGCAGGATTTTATGATGAATTCATCAAATTTCGGTAGAACTCCCCGTCAGCTGAATACTCTACATACACGGACATATATACTTTTGAAATTACATTTGGGAGGTATAAGACTAATAAGTAAATAAACTACGTTGAAGTAGTCATGCAGAAACACGACAAGTGCGAATGTTTTCCTGGTCGTGTTCAAATAGATAAGGGGAGAGAGAGAGTATGAGAGATCAAAATTAAGATAAATTGCATTACTCTTCGAATACATCAGTTAGATAAAAAATTAGTCATTAGGGAATATAACGAGAATTGTAAACAGACTAATATCAATAGTAATAGTTATAATAATAATAATAACAAAAGTGTTGAAGTGAGTTAAGATAATCTTACGGATAAAGCATAGTTTTAAATAAATCAAGAATAAAAATAATGATAGTAATAATAACAATAATAATAAGAGGTAAAATAGTAGTAATAACAAGTAGAGAATAATAAGTAAAACGTATTACCATGGTAGATTCAGAGTGGCGACCATCTCCTTTTGTATACAGAGAGCTGGTTTATAAATTTGAATTGCACAAGCCTCTGCAATTGCAAGCATCTTCTTGTTTCTTTGTTTACTGACAATGGTGAATGACTTGACCGCGTCGATATCATGTCCGTAATCCACAAGATGTTTTGTTATTGAGGATTTCGGCACTTTGCACTCAGCTGTTTTCAACCATTTTGGCAAATGCTCCATCATGCGAGTAGATAATCGCCTTTCCGTACGACCTATGTATTTGCTGCCACAAACACACTCAAATTGATATATGCAGTTTGAAGTGTCAAGGATTGGCGACTGGTCTTTCCCAGATTGTTGAAGCACTCGCTTGGTGGTGTTAAGGATAACAAGTTTTGCAGCATAATAAGTTCTCTTGATGACTTTGTTGAGTCTTCGTTTCACTACTTCCTGTACGTCATCTCCTTTGAATGGCAAAATGATATAGACAGGTTTCTTTGGAACTGTTTGAATTGTTTTGCAAGGGGTAGTTTCTTTAGAGTATTTATTAATGAACTTTTCAGGATATCCATTCTTACATAAAATATCCTTCAGAGATTTTATTTCATGTTCAACAGTACTGTCAGAACAAATTTTTCGTGCTCTATTGAACAGTGTTCTGACTAAGTTCTTTTTGTATTGGAATGGAACAAAGCTCTTGAAATGCATGTACTGTCCTGTCCATGAAGACTTTCTAAATATAGATCTTTCGATTGTGCCATCATTCATTTTGGCTAGAAGAACGTCTAGAAATTTAACAGTATCGTTTTCCTCGTGTTCTACTGTGAAATTGAGATTTGGATGGCATGAATTGAATTTTATCAACATGTCTTCCGCTTTTGATCTGCTTTCACAGACAATAAAAATGTCATCAACATATCTTAGGCATACATCCGTTTCTTGTATATGTTGCCGCAAAGTACCGGTTTCTAGGCGTGACAAGAATAAGTAGGCAATTTACCTAATCCCTTTCACTAACATAGTCCTAGACCTTTTTGTTTAACTTATACAGTAATTTGATTTCCTCTTCTTTCTTTTTGAACTCCTAATTTTAGATACACTTTGTAAATATTTTGAATCTCTTACTCCAATGAACAATGTTCCTGTTTTCGCGCGCTTTCAATTTTAACGATAATTATTTCTGAGCGACATTTATAACTTCATATCTTTAGCTAACGTAAAACTGATAGTCAAGTTAAAATTAGGAATTGGTAGAAGTTAGAATTCCTGTGTGCCCGACCGAAAACTGCTACCTTGACGTGGTGGTCGGGCTTGAACACCGCAATGACCTAATCAAGCTATATTGGCTGAGACTTATGTCTCTTGAGGTTCTACCATGTCAGGCAGGTTGTTTGGATAGCGGTTAAACAAAAAGCAGCTACCCCATCCAATACTATGATTCAAACAAATTCACAAAATTTCATGCCGGATCGGCCGTGGCCCGGATTAACAACGACCGCGCTTCCTGCTGCCGTGTCACAGGGCAGGAGTGATAAATATGCTACTGAGACACACCAAACAACAAAGAACAAACAAAAACAGGCCGCGTGTGACCGGCCTCAAGCAGTTGTCCCCTGGGCTCTGCGGTCACGCAACCAACTTCCACGGTGTGGGCAGCCGGGAAGTAACAATCGCCCTCACAATCCGTGTCATTGAGTTGAGTCTCCGTGTGTGAATGATCTATGACCTTGCCTCGTGACCAGAAGCACCTGGTTTTGAAACCCGGCGGATGTATGCTGTCGATGAGTCCCAGACCAGAACGAAGTCGTTGTCCCCTGGTTTTCAATGGTTCTCTAACTGATATCAATCTGTGATCAAAACTTAAAATAAGTTTCATAATTGAGTCATTGTTTTCTCCTGATGTTTAATGTCATGTTTTTTTTACCAACATATTAACAACTGACCTCTTTAGGTGTTTCCCAATACCTTTTATAACAGCTTTGAAGTAAAGTTACACAAAGAATATTCATTTCCCACGTGTCTTTTTAATTCAAGATGACTAGGGACACTATGACTTCAACAATAGTAATGTTTTCAGTGTTTTTTGTACTTTATCATATACGTCAACTGTTTCTCAGACTACATTACTGTTTAAATAATAGGCGTATATTTGCTAGGTGTATATTAATTACAAGCGTTATACCCTTAAACCTAGTACATTCGACATAGAACTTTGCACATATGTGCACCAGTTCAAGTCACCACACTCCACTCTTTGTAGCACACAAAGCAAAAGTAGAAAGTACAAGAAAACCATAATAGAGACAGTAAACAGAGGTGTGAGACAAAGGAAGAGTAATAACGAAGAACAAAACATTTTAATTGGAAATCATAAGTCACAGGGAGTGGATGCATCTGCGCCGGCCATCGAGAACGATTTTGAGCCATATCACCAATTGCTTCCAACCATTGGTGCTTACCGTCCCGAGGACCCCAACCAGTCAGGAAGTCTACACCTTCCTACGTGGCTGGCTTAGACTAACTGTTGTAGATTTCATTGACTGGTGAGGCCATGTTTTTGTTTGACTGCCGCTAGCTCTCTTCCAGCCTGACCCTATGTCAGCTAACATTGCCCATCAGTCGAGGAAGGCGATGACTAGGCTAGGCATACGTAACACATATCCTAACCATCTCAGTCTTTGTAACTTCACAACTTCGTCGATCGATTTCCCCTGCTTACCTAGCACTGAACGGACGCCTAACCTCAATATTGCTCACCTTATTATACCACTTCACACGGGAGATAGAACGCAGGCAGGCACCTATGATCAAAGACGGCTAATCTTTTCATGTCTTCCGCTCTAAGTGGCCAGGTCTCACAGCCATAAAGGACCTAGTACATTGAAAACATGTAGGCATCCACACAGCTTATCAGTGACCTCAAAGAGGCTGGTGCTAGAACCACTAGCACCAATGGCATATTTCAATAAGATTTAGTAACTCAGTAAATAGAATCCTATATATATACAACAGACTAGACAGTGTCCAATCATCGCATCACCATCCCGTAGGGAAATCAGTGTAAAGATAATCAACGATTTTTCTTACAGCTATGCGGAGAAAAACATATTAGCTCACTTGAAGAACAGTTACTTCTTCTAGGTCAACAGAATACATAATCTCTTGTAGTTTAACACGAATCAATGCTTCCATTCTAGCACATTCTTTTCTAGATGAAAAAAGAAAGAAAATCGAAAAAGATAAGTCAAAATGATGAACTACTACGGTGATGATAACAACAGTAATTATAATTTTTTTTTCAAAAATTTATTTTTGACTTTAATTAGTCATGAGTATATACTCAAATGATAAAATTCAGTAGTATTCATCACATGACATATGACAAAGTCCTTCGTCAAAAAACTACAAATAATAGTATCGTGAATTATCTCTGAAGGTATAAAATACATAACAATGTCACTTTTAAGATTAATTAGATAAGCGAGTTTCTCTACAGATGAACGAAGGGACGGTGAAATACTATTGAACGTTTAGTCATGAACATGACATTTTTAAAGTCAGCAATGAAGGAAACATTTGCCAGTTTTAACCTTAACACTGCTTATATACACCATGCGAACACACGGCGAATAGTGTTGAAATTAAACACAATGTAAGAAGACGACTAAGCTCTTAAGGTGAAGCAAATGACGTAGCTGAGATTTACGTCTTCTTAACTGATGAGGATCAATCGAATTCCTTAAATTAAAAAGTTGGTTAGGACTGATATTAGGAAGGAACGTTTTTATGATAGTCACACCAGTAGGCTGCATCAATGCATAAAAAGACTGATTCATAAAATGATGGTAAATTTGATGCTATAATTCCCAGAATACTGGTATGATCTAACTCAATGGTGATCGCAGCTAATATAACGTGTAAGCATTTAATTATTCCATAAATCATGTTTTTGTGTCCGTTGATTTTTTCTGGCTGTAATAATTTTGGAGAGTACTGTAATTTAGTGAGATACAATAACTAGACAGTGTAACTACAAACTTGAAGAACAACTTCAAATCATATAACATAAAATGAATTCAAAGCTGCTCGAGGAATAATCTACGAAAATCAATGTTCTGAGGTGTTTTCAAGTCTTGGGCTGTAAGGATTTGATAACAAGCTGAACCGATCAGACAACTATTGGAAACCTATGGAGTGTTGGACAGCATTTTCGTCCTATTTCCAGACTATTAAGCAGTACTTGCTCATAACCCTATCGGATATCTAACCCAAGGTTTTCATGTTATTAGCAGAGCCCGTTGATAAATTAGCTACCGGGAGGAACCACCAATGAAAACTATTCTTATTTAAGTATTGGTTTGTAGGGATTTGGTTGATTGGTTGGGGGATTTCATCATGAGCTGACATTAGTTAGAGAACCATTGGAAAACCTGGGAGTACTGGACAGCTGCTGTTTCACCCTAGTTTGGGACTCTTCATCAGTATGCACCCACCGGGATTCCAACCCAGGACCTTCTGGTTACAAGGCGAGCGAGCTCGTATACCATTAAGCCACTGGGACCCGATCCAATGGCCAGCCCATGAATTCTAACTTCTGCCAATTCACGACATAGCGCGACCCCTAGCCAATGTCTTTGGCGAGTATTTGTCCTCACACCCGACCAGCTGCACCCTACTGGTCACAACTTCCCACTGGAACCCCAGGTAACTACCTATCTGAATAGGGCCAGTCGCTAGTGAGCATCTCATTGATATTCTTATTGATTAGTTATTTTCAAGTGATCAGTTTTGCGGGTCTGATTGATTTCTAGGTAGATTTTGTCACAAACCAACATCGCGTAGAAAATCACTAAATGTTCACTGAATAGAATACTGAATAAAGAGAATAGATCCCTTGCTGATGGATTTGATCAGCACAGGCATCATCTCGAAAACTTTCATAAACCAATCATTTTCGAATAACTGATAAACATGGTCGACCGCTAATGGGATCGTAAAGCCGATAGGCTGTAATCAGTGATGTATACTTACTGGTTGTTATTCAAACCTATCCATTGTCTTCATCACTAGGGCAAATAAGACATCTAGTTATGTGCAGGAAGTGAAAATCGAAATGATAGAAATGTACATAATTCCATCAGAAATATTCAGTCAGTAGGCAATTAGTGCAAAGCTTGCTAGAAACCCAATGATCTATCTCAAATTACTGAGCATTTCATCGCAGAAAGTGAAACTTGGAAGAAACGAAAAGATGTCAAACCAACATGAAGGACACGGCTGATTTAAGCTTAACAGAAGGAACATGTGAAATGCTTGGATTTCGTTAAAAGTCAATCCACTGCTTTATTAATGTATAGCTTAGATACACTCTTTGTGTACTCATTCTGTTATTCACTTAATCAGACAATACGAATCGCAGACTTGATACATTTGCTAAATTAAGCTATGAACTAAACTCAAATGAGAGATGGTTTGTAGCTTAAAGCCACATTTATTAATAAATCTGCAGGTAAATTAAAAAGAAATAGTAATAGCTAGAATTTTAAGTAAATATCGCTGGGTGTTTTTTCCAGTAGATTAGCCACCAGTACTGAAGTAGCAAAGAGGGTATATGTCGATTGCTCGTGAACCTGTGTCAGATAAGATAGACAAGAAATATAGCAACTTTATCTTTACGTTCCCTAGCTGAGATCAGTGCCGATTAGAGTAGAAGTAGGTAGGAAGGAGTCTAGTGGTAATTACAACAAGTCAAGATGACAATGCAGAAGGTGGGAGGAATTTAGGATTAGAGATCCTAGGTTGACTCGGTCACCATGAAGACAACCAATAATATCCCAGAAGAATTTTAGAACAAAACACAATAAGGACAGTCGTATGAGTATTTAAAGAAATTAGATCTTGAGATATATATGAGAACCACAATGAATGATTTCTAGTCATAAAAACAGAATCCATGCAAAAAAAAATTAAAACTAGAATAAAATCAACATAAACAAATCTTAAAATCTTACTCTTCATCAGTTGCATTATCAAAAAGGGAAGAATGCGATAACGATTGAATAAATCCATCAATATCATCTGTTTTAAGCCATTCTTGTATCTGTTGAGTAGATGACGCTGGTAAACTATGATAATAATTGACCCAGTCATGAGTAAAGCCACGACAGAAATAAGCATTAGCACGAGCCACTTGACATGCTTTATTCACAGCTTGAAATGCAGCCCACAAAGCCTGTACAGAAACGGGTTTGAATTGTTTGACAGTATCTTTGGTAATTAATTCGAATCCCCTATTAATTGGTAGATCGATAAAAGTTGAGTACAAGAAAAACAATTAAGCACCTAAAATATATGCAGCATACACTCATTTAAATTAAAGAATAAAACGAAGTTAATTACTGCAATAATAACAACACGACACAGCAATTAGGAAATACTTATTCATAAATTGGGCGTAAAACCAAACCTAACCCATAACTAATAATTTATCAGATTGTAATATGTAACATAGAGCTCAAACTTGTGACCTTACAGTTATAAAATGAAAACTCGAATCAAGAATCCATAATCTCACTGAATGATATCAGTGGCGAGACTTATTAGTATTTACACTTTTTCCTGTTTAATTAAGAGTAGATATAATTCGAACTTATGGCAGGTAAGAATATTTTAAGATTCTAAAGCCAGTAATATAAGAACACGTATCAAGTGAATGTATTGTGATCTTAATAACGTGTAAACTAGTTAAATGAAGCGGTTATTTTGAATTAATTTAATTACTTATGTTCACATACTACATTTACATGACTACTTCTTATTCTTAATAGTATTTTGCTTCATAATAAAAATACTACTACAGATCTCCAAAAGATAGATATCAAAAAAGTTAAGTTACCGAAAACGAAATGTTACTCAACAATTACAGGCATTTAAGCGTACTTGGCAATGAGTTAAATCTTTTGTGTATAGGTAGATGATATTATCTAGCTACAAAAGCCTTCAGATAAGAAGTTAGATTCAAAAACTTAAACTAGTGGGTGAAAGTACATCATAAAAACCAATGAACCACATTTTCAGCAGTATGCACGTTATTAATCGACTGTCATTGCCACCCAGTAGCCTTAGTAAGTGGTTGCCTTTATATCTCATCACTCAAAATTAAAAATTCCTAATAATTTGTTTGAAGACACACAAAAAACGTTAACCTCTGTGTCTGATGTAATAATGTCATTGGAAAACGAGTTTCCCCACATATTTTAATCACTGAAACAGGACAGTGTAATTCACAATACATTCACACAATAATATGAGAAAGTCACTAGTGTGCTCAAAGTGGCACGTAAAACTTGCTAATAAATACCAGCAAGCACAATAAATATGTAGCTTATGGATTTTCCTCTTGATTCTGGACATTTGGCATTGATATTGATGAACGTATGCACAAATCTTTCCGCATACATAAATGCATGTAGCTTTAATTTGATTCTTTTTGGATCAAATCTATGTTCACTTAGTGAAGTATATGACTAGTAACGCTTACAACATTACTTCCCTGCATAAATGGTGTTAGCAAAACGTCTTACAGCAGGTTATTTGTACCATCACAGACTTGTAGTCAAATATCCTAACATGAACTGAATTTTCAACAGAGAACTTTACTTGATGGTGCAGCAGTTTAAGTTACCATACATCAATAAGCATACAAAAGTTTAAAATAACGCAAATGAGTGGTAGTGAGTGGAGATTTACAGAAATATATGACAAATATTATGAATAAGGGTGGGAATTTAAAGGATCTAAGGGTATGAATCTGTCTCATCATTTATATAGCATACATTTGGTATCATGAGGGTTTTAGGACGCAATATTTATAAGAAACTGGTTGATAGATGGAACACGGTAGCAGTGTGTCACAAAATATTTTCCGAACCCTAACTTATACATTTCTAATCTGACTTAACTGAACTGCTAACGTGGGACTTAGCACAAACGTATGCAAATTCAAGCAACCACACAAAACTGTAGTGGAAGGAAATGCAATGAAACTAAAATAAGCGAAGATGTACATGAGAAAGAATGATTAGATGGAGACTAGAGATTCACAGAATCTGGATGATCATAAAGAATCGATGCTTTTGTACCATTCCAAACGATTGTCATTAACAGTCTTTAATCATTGATTTCTAGCATCCAGATATTCCTAGCCAGGCAGTCTGCACCTTCCTACACAGCTTAAACTAGCAGCCAAAGACCACATGGAATGGTAGCATGTATTGGTTTAGCCACATAACTACTTTCCAAATTAGTCCTATTTCAGCTTACATTGCTTAATAGAGAAAGTCTATAGCTCAGTGTGCATGACACATCCTAGCTATTTGAATAAATGAGACTTAACAACCTAATCAACTGAATACCCCTGCTTACATAACATTCCGCGCTTAATTTTATTATGATTGACAATATTGATTTGATAACCTGAAAACCACATCTTTTATGAAAGACAGGAATATCTACGATATATCCAAGAGTTTAATTATATTTCAGTCATATAGCAATCATCAATAATTTGTGTGCGGTTCATAATTGTTTAAGCCAATTTCGACTGGGACTTTCAAAAAATGATGAATTACAAGATATAACTAAAATCATTTGTTGATCGGAGTCACTCATAATAGATGACTTGTTTTCAGTGGTGCCAGCAGAGTTGTAAATATCCTACCGAGTTCAAAAAACCTGGCGGCACAGTCTAGGAAGTTATTGGGTTAGGATCAATAATGCAGTTCTGGCGTTTGTACTGTCACTAAATACAGAAGCTACGTTAGTTTTGATATTCTAATCTGTATTGAATTAAAAACGTTGTCTGAGAACGCAGGAAGACCTTTCCCTGATTACGTAGAGTATCTCCAATACTACAAGTGCAAAAAATAAGTGTACGTGATATCGCAGATCTGTGGTTAGTGGACTAAAAGGATTATACTAAAATTGATTACAGGTATATATTCACTAACTATACATTCCTTCACATTACATTTTGCACTACAGTTTGCTAAGAATTGTGACAATTTAGATCAACTGGGGATGTAAAGCTCAATGTATCTGGTTAATCCCTGAGTTATACCGAAGAATACTGGCTGTTAACAATTATAAACATTTATTTAGTTAAACAACAAGTACACAGTATCGTTGTACCAAACTAGATGGGTGCAAACCAATATGCTCACCAAGTGAAGAATTTTGCTTTCTTTAGTAAAAGATGCTGAATTCCTGATGTTTCATACACTTGATACACTTTTCAGCGAAAAGCCTTTTGGTGAAATACAATACGAATTATAAACTTAGCAACACTTGATATAAAACTTGAGTACTGTGGTAGAGCATAACTCCATTATGGATAAGATTTTACTCCAGTTCTATTGTATCGACGGGACTGTGACTTGTAAATCAGGAGGATCTGCAAATTGAACGCTTTGGAAGACTCGCGTCTAACCACACCGCACTGATTTAGAATAACTAATAAAGTTTACTGAACTTCTAAAGGGATCATGATATACATGTTCCCCAATAAGAAGCCATCTTTGGTCTCTTGTGAATTGAAATCTGCATAAAACACAGCTAACTCTTGGGCGAAAAGTTTTTCAAAGACTGTGAAAGAGGTTGGATGGGCGGCTGCATTGTTGATAACTGAGATAGATAGTGTCAACAACGGCGTAAGGAAGATATGCTGGGTCCAGAAGACAACCCTCTGGAACTCATAACACCAATTTATGTAGATAATAACCAGCTGGGTCTCAAGGGAAGCGATACTAAAAGACAGATGGTAAGTCGAAGATTTGTTGATCAACCAAGTATAAAAACTAAGTTAATCAAACGGCGCACGGGAACATGATTCTCAGTTGGTTAGTGTCAGCACACCAGAATAGCTTCTGATCTTATTAATCCTGTCTTCTGTCAGCGAGCAAATGTCCGAGCAACAACAGGGATTGTCGACTCTGACGAACAGTAAACTGGCTCGTATAAGAAACTTCATTGAAAGTCCACTCACTACTCATCATCATTGATATAAGTATAAAACTTGGGCACTGTGGTAGAGTATAACTCCATTATGGATAAGATTTTATTTTGATAAAACGACACTGTTATACAGTAATATTAACTAGGGACGTTTCGAGCACAAATTATTATGACTAATGAGTGCTCATCAGACACTGCATACTTTTATTTTTATGAAATCTCTTAACGAGTTATACTTAGGTCCAGTTAGTTTAGAACTGTTCAGAACTCAGTTTTGGTCCTTTACCAACCTATAACCATTAGCTTTACTTCTGAAACTGAACAAATATGGTAATGATCTAATTCACAGAAGTATTCCACTTAATACTTATCAATATGCGCACAATACATGGAATAGAAACTCGAATACACTAACCCGTCTCCACATAGGTTTATTGACATGTCTTGCCATATGGACAGAACTAATCCGACAGTAGCTCGCCCGTCAGTAATGTCCACTCCCAAGATAGATGACTCCTCAGTTTCCTGCTTTCCAAAGGTAGATATTATACAACAATATCTGTGTTGATGGGGTTTAGGGTTGGTACTCTGAAGCTTCACAATCTTGGAAGGAGGTTAGAATTTTATATAAAACTACCAGTTGAATGTAATCACCGAACCTAAGCAGAGCAATTATTCTTTTTAAGTGGTCCTGAATTTCATCTGCGGGAAATTAACACTAAAATCCCACATACCATTGGCTTTGATACAGCTTGACCTTCTTCTTGAGTGAATATTTAGACCAACAGCCGTTCCCTTGCACATCAGGAAGTCTTCGCTTTGACTACAAATTATAGGAGGAAAAATCTACTCACCTGCTCCTAGAGGATGACTCATTTTTATCTCCGTCAGTAATTTCCTCACAGTCCTGGTGTTAATTTTAGAAAATTACATGAAACCTACATTTTCTGATGCTATGAGCGACCTGTCTATAGTTATCAATGACATTTATCAGTATAGTGAGTGCATCGATTTCTAAGTGCGGCCTTGACAGGTCATATTCACCGCCGTAGATCTCAAGGAGAGATACAATGCCTTCAATGAGAATATGATGACTGGCAGTCTCCGGTGGGAGATACTCAGATTCTTATCTGAAACAGGAGAATACACCACTTGTCATAGAACAATTACTCAACTGAGGCCTAAATGAAGTGTTCTTTGCCACACCACCTGTTTGCCTGTATATAATCATAATTATGTCTCTATGAGGTATGAAATTCAGTGATTCGGCCGGTCTTTTTATAGCAATGCGAATCTTGTCAGACTATTAGGGTGAATCTGACCTATGGAGGACTGATTAAATGTTTAGGTAACATCAATAAACTAAATAGCAGCAAGTAGATCTCAGGACAGGAAGTAATGCAATTAAAGGAAGGTTCAGGCTCTCATTTTCAGATAAGTGAATAAACAGCCATATCTTTTACATAGGGATTAGTACGCTACAATTACTTAGTTACATAAAACTCTCATTTCTATGGTGTTTTTCACCACGAAGTTCTGGAATTTATTGCGATCCGTTCACTTTCGAACACTAAACTTGTGGGTATAATCTTGTTGACTACTAATACCTATAACTAACTGCTGGACATTTTGTGACCTTTTAACACTAACTCATATCTGTAATTGTATATATTGTTGGATTTATATGTTCAAGTTGGCCCAAGTCAGTGAGTCTATGGTTTTCGTATCATTTTAGTCAACTGTGCCTGCATGTTGTTGTATTGTATTGTTGTTGTCGCTTTTCCCCTTTTTACTGCGAATTATTTTCCTTTTGCTGGTGTTGCTCTGATTGTTTTATTCCTTGTTTTCCGATTTTAAGGGGAGCAACCCACAAGTTCGCTTCTCTCTTAATTTTATCTTAATGTAACAGTTCCTTTCTCAGGCGTGAGGCTAGCAACCCCACCCAGTAAACAAAGTTGCTACAGAAACTTCAGTCCGATGAATGTCTTTATACCAAAAGAAAAAATCTGTGTGGGGACATGTAACTTCCGCACCATATACGAGATTGGCAAAGCCGCCCAGATCGCAAACGAAATGAAAAGATAAGGAATCCAAGTACTAGGAATATGAGAAAGCAGATATAACGGTAATAGACGCACAAAATTTTCAAAGGGTGAGTCAGTGATCTACTCCGGTCACCCAGAAGATAACCACACGCACACCGAGGGCGTGGCTATCATGATGTCACCAACGCAACGAAGGCCCTGATGCAATGGGAAGCGATCTCGCTCAGGATAATGACCGCCAGATTCAACTCCAAGGGAAGGAAAGTGTCAGTTATACAATGCTATGCAACCACAAACAACGCGGACCTCGAAAAGAAAGAAGAATTCAACAGGCAACTACAGGCAACAATGGGCAACACTTCAGCTGGTTGCATCAAAATAATAATGGGAGGCATGAACGCCCAACTGGGACCAGACAACACAGGAAGGGAACTCCTCATGGGTAGAGAAGCTCTCGGAGAAATGAATGAAAATGGAGAGCTCTTCGCTGACTTCTGCGCCTTCAACGAACTAGTGATTGGTGGCAGCGTGTACAAACACAAAGATATCCACAAGGCAACATGGGTGTCACCAGATGGGCAAACCAAAAACCAAACTGACTTCATCTCAATACTGCTCAAGGAAGTGGAGGCACAGCCTACTGGACACAAAAGTAAGAAGAGGAGCAGACGTTGGCTCAGACCACTATCTCGTACAACGGACAATCCAAATCAAATTAAAAGCTTTCAGGGAATCAGGAGCTGCAGATAGACCACAAGCCAAGTTCAACACTCAAAAACTGAAGGAGCAAGATACAAAGGACATCTTCATTGCAAACATAAGAGAAAAAGCCGAGACACAAATCAGCACTAGTGAAGAGGTCGGCGTCCAAAAGCACTGGGATAACTTGAAAACGGCGTGCAGACGAAACTGCATGGAAGTTCTGTGCAAAAAGAAGAAACAGGATAAACACTGGCTTACTACGGACACTTGGAGACTGATAGAAGAGAGAAGGATGGTGAAGCAAAAGATTATCCAGTGCACCGACGAGCAACAAAAACAGGAGTTGAATGCACGCTACAATACGCAGAACAAAAGAGTGAAGAAGAGTGCCAGAGAAGACAAAAGAAAATATTATGAAACCATGGCAAACGAAGCAGAACAAGCTGCAGGCAAAGGAGACCTCGCCACACTCTACCAAACAACTAGGCACCTATCGGGAAAACGTTCTATACAGATTAGGCCAGTAAAGGGTGACAATGGAAAGTCAATTACCAAAGAAGTGGAGCAAAGAAAACACCTGACTGAATGCTTCAAAAGACTTCTAACTCGACCACCACATACAACGCGCCCAACAATACCAACAACGGAAGAGGATCTACCAGTGAAAATCGACCCCCCGACGAAATCAGAAGTTCTGAATGCAATCAAGATGCTAAGAGCTGGAAAAGCGTCAGGACCAGGTGGAATCTCAGCGGAAGCATTTAAAATGGATCCAGAGACGAGAGCGGACTTGATGACGCCATTACTAGAGAAGGTGTGGAAAGAGGGCAAGGTAGCTGAGTATTGGAAGAAAGCATACTTATTCAAAGTACCAAAGAAAGGAGACAAATCAATGCAAAAACTGGCGCGGAATTATGCTCCTGTCCATCCCAAGCAAAATACAAAACCGCATCATACTGGAGAGAATCAAACACGCCATCTTAGATGAAAAACTCCGACTGGAACAACCTGGATTCAGGAGAAACAAGTAGTCAGGCACGAATCATAAACCAATAATGCCCAGCTCTTGCTGCACTCGAGCTCACGCTGTTCCTTGAAGTTTCTCAGAAACGCTTAGTAATAACGGACGAAAAAACCAAAACACCAATTGGCGACTCGAGGATTCTTTATTGTAACACCAACATATAAACACTGTTTCAACTAAGGTCTGTAAACAAATATTACAATAATAAATCACAATACTACTTCTGATGGTATTGTCCTGACTTCTTTATGAACAGCGACCGATGAGACGATGACTGTCGTATTGATGCCTCCGCGAAAATTGGGGAAGTTGGTTTTGAGCAAACAACCATGAATTCATCGTTCAATCTTCAACTCCATTGACACTCCCCGGCAAAAAAGGGGTCCAACCCTTTTTTCCTTCACGACCAATGCACGTTGACTTGGATTTCATTGCGAGAACCTGGGTCACACGGACAGAGCTGAAATGGAAAACAAACAGAAAAGACGCATTTCAACACTCTTAGCAATCTAAAAACTATAAATAAACTAGCAGCATGGATGCGTAAAGGCTTAGTACGGAACAAAGAGTATTAGTTTACCCTTAGATATAGGACGTGTCACTTTATCGTAACCTTCAAACGCTTGCTATATAAACTGTTTTATTCCAATGACTACCCCTACCAGAAACCATTAATTACTTCTAAAACGCATCAGTCATTAGAACACTAAAACGCTCAGACTCATTAATACACATTATGACACTAAATAAACTCTAAGACTTCGCATAAATAAAGTGAAAAGACAACTATAATTAAAAGTAATTTTTTACTTATATGTTATAAAATTGACATAAACATTTACATATATACATTAACATACTTTCAATGTTCACATACTTTCTATTTTTGGCACCCTGCTACTCCTATTCATCTTCTGGTCGAGGTCGAACAACCCTGCATCTAAACTGAAATGAGGATTAATTCCAAACCATCTCTATCATAACCACTCAAATTCCATGAACGATCCAATTCTACCATTTGAAGACGAAATGTTACTCAACAATTACAGGCATTTAAGCGTACTTGGCAATGAGTTAAATCTTTTGTGTATAGGTAGATGATATTATCTAGCTACAAAAGCCTTCAGATAAGAAGTTAGATTCAAAAACTTAAACTAGTGGGTGAAAGTACATCATAAAAACCAATGAACCACATTTTCAGCAGTATGCACGTTATTAATCGACTGTCATTGCCACCCAGTAGCCTTAGTAAGTGGTTGCCTTTATATCTCATCACTCAAAATTAAAAATTCCTAATAATTTGTTTGAAGACACACAAAAAACGTTAACCTCTGTGTCTGATGTAATAATGTCATTGGAAAACGAGTTTCCCCACATATTTTAATCACTGAAACAGGACAGTGTAATTCACAATACATTCACACAATAATATGAGAAAGTCACTAGTGTGCTCAAAGTGGCACGTAAAACTTGCTAATAAATACCAGCAAGCACAATAAATATGTAGCTTATGGATTTTCCTCTTGATTCTGGACATTTGGCATTGATATTGATGAACGTATGCACAAATCTTTCCGCATACATAAATGCATGTAGCTTTAATTTGATTCTTTTTGGATCAAATCTATGTTCACTTAGTGAAGTATATGACTAGTAACGCTTACAACATTACTTCCCTGCATAAATGGTGTTAGCAAAACGTCTTACAGCAGGTTATTTGTACCATCACAGACTTGTAGTCAAATATCCTAACATGAACTGAATTTTCAACAGAGAACTTTACTTGATGGTGCAGCAGTTTAAGTTACCATACATCAATAAGCATACAAAAGTTTAAAATAACGCAAATGAGTGGTAGTGAGTGGAGATTTACAGAAATATATGACAAATATTATGAATAAGGGTGGGAATTTAAAGGATCTAAGGGTATGAATCTGTCTCATCATTTATATAGCATACATTTGGTATCATGAGGGTTTTAGGACGCAATATTTATAAGAAACTGGTTGATAGATGGAACACGGTAGCAGTGTGTCACAAAATATTTTCCGAACCCTAACTTATACATTTCTAATCTGACTTAACTGAACTGCTAACGTGGGACTTAGCACAAACGTATGCAAATTCAAGCAACCACACAAAACTGTAGTGGAAGGAAATGCAATGAAACTAAAATAAGCGAAGATGTACATGAGAAAGAATGATTAGATGGAGACTAGAGATTCACAGAATCTGGATGATCATAAAGAATCGATGCTTTTGTACCATTCCAAACGATTGTCATTAACAGTCTTTAATCATTGATTTCTAGCATCCAGATATTCCTAGCCAGGCAGTCTGCACCTTCCTACACAGCTTAAACTAGCAGCCAAAGACCACATGGAATGGTAGCATGTATTGGTTTAGCCACATAACTACTTTCCAAATTAGTCCTATTTCAGCTTACATTGCTTAATAGAGAAAGTCTATAGCTCAGTGTGCATGACACATCCTAGCTATTTGAATAAATGAGACTTAACAACCTAATCAACTGAATACCCCTGCTTACATAACATTCCGCGCTTAATTTTATTATGATTGACAATATTGATTTGATAACCTGAAAACCACATCTTTTATGAAAGACAGGAATATCTACGATATATCCAAGAGTTTAATTATATTTCAGTCATATAGCAATCATCAATAATTTGTGTGCGGTTCATAATTGTTTAAGCCAATTTCGACTGGGACTTTCAAAAAATGATGAATTACAAGATATAACTAAAATCATTTGTTGATCGGAGTCACTCATAATAGATGACTTGTTTTCAGTGGTGCCAGCAGAGTTGTAAATATCCTACCGAGTTCAAAAAACCTGGCGGCACAGTCTAGGAAGTTATTGGGTTAGGATCAATAATGCAGTTCTGGCGTTTGTACTGTCACTAAATACAGAAGCTACGTTAGTTTTGATATTCTAATCTGTATTGAATTAAAAACGTTGTCTGAGAACGCAGGAAGACCTTTCCCTGATTACGTAGAGTATCTCCAATACTACAAGTGCAAAAAATAAGTGTACGTGATATCGCAGATCTGTGGTTAGTGGACTAAAAGGATTATACTAAAATTGATTACAGGTATATATTCACTAACTATACATTCCTTCACATTACATTTTGCACTACAGTTTGCTAAGAATTGTGACAATTTAGATCAACTGGGGATGTAAAGCTCAATGTATCTGGTTAATCCCTGAGTTATACCGAAGAATACTGGCTGTTAACAATTATAAACATTTATTTAGTTAAACAACAAGTACACAGTATCGTTGTACCAAACTAGATGGGTGCAAACCAATATGCTCACCAAGTGAAGAATTTTGCTTTCTTTAGTAAAAGATGCTGAATTCCTGATGTTTCATACACTTGATACACTTTTCAGCGAAAAGCCTTTTGGTGAAATACAATACGAATTATAAACTTAGCAACACTTGATATAAAACTTGAGTACTGTGGTAGAGCATAACTCCATTATGGATAAGATTTTACTCCAGTTCTATTGTATCGACGGGACTGTGACTTGTAAATCAGGAGGATCTGCAAATTGAACGCTTTGGAAGACTCGCGTCTAACCACACCGCACTGATTTAGAATAACTAATAAAGTTTACTGAACTTCTAAAGGGATCGTGATATACATGTTCCCCAATAAGAAGCCATCTTTGGTCTCTTGTGAATTGAAATCTGCATAAAACACAGCTAACTCTTGGGCGAAAAGTTTTTCAAAGACTGTGAAAGAGGTTGGATGGGCGGCTGCATTGTTGATAACTGAGATAGATAGTGTCAACAACGGCGTAAGGAAGATATGCTGGGTCCAGAAGACAACCCTCTGGAACTCATAACACCAATTTATGTAGATAATAACCAGCTGGGTCTCAAGGGAAGCGATACTAAAAGACAGATGGTAAGTCGAAGATTTGTTGATCAACCAAGTATAAAAACTAAGTTAATCAAACGGCGCACGGGAACATGATTCTCAGTTGGTTAGTGTCAGCACACCAGAATAGCTTCTGATCTTATTAATCCTGTCTTCTGTCAGCGAGCAAATGTCCGAGCAACAACAGGGATTGTCGACTCTGACGAACAGTAAACTGGCTCGTATAAGAAACTTCATTGAAAGTCCACTCACTACTCATCATCATTGATATAAGTATAAAACTTGGGCACTGTGGTAGAGTATAACTCCATTATGGATAAGATTTTATTTTGATAAAACGACACTGTTATACAGTAATATTAACTAGGGACGTTTCGAGCACAAATTATTATGACTAATGAGTGCTCATCAGACACTGCATACTTTTATTTTTATGAAATCTCTTAACGAGTTATACTTAGGTCCAGTTAGTTTAGAACTGTTCAGAACTCAGTTTTGGTCCTTTACCAACCTATAACCATTAGCTTTACTTCTGAAACTGAACAAATATGGTAATGATCTAATTCACAGAAGTATTCCACTTAATACTTATCAATATGCGCACAATACATGGAATAGAAACTCGAATACACTAACCCGTCTCCACATAGGTTTATTGACATGTCTTGCCATATGGACAGAACTAATCCGACAGTAGCTCGCCCGTCAGTAATGTCCACTCCCAAGATAGATGACTCCTCAGTTTCCTGCTTTCCAAAGGTAGATATTATACAACAATATCTGTGTTGATGGGGTTTAGGGTTGGTACTCTGAAGCTTCACAATCTTGGAAGGAGGTTAGAATTTTATATAAAACTACCAGTTGAATGTAATCACCGAACCTAAGCAGAGCAATTATTCTTTTTAAGTGGTCCTGAATTTCATCTGCGGGAAATTAACACTAAAATCCCACATACCATTGGCTTTGATACAGCTTGACCTTCTTCTTGAGTGAATATTTAGACCAACAGCCGTTCCCTTGCACATCAGGAAGTCTTCGCTTTGACTACAAATTATAGGAGGAAAAATCTACTCACCTGCTCCTAGAGGATGACTCATTTTTATCTCCGTCAGTAATTTCCTCACAGTCCTGGTGTTAATTTTAGAAAATTACATGAAACCTACATTTTCTGATGCTATGAGCGACCTGTCTATAGTTATCAATGACATTTATCAGTATAGTGAGTGCATCGATTTCTAAGTGCGGCCTTGACAGGTCATATTCACCGCCGTAGATCTCAAGGAGAGATACAATGCCTTCAATGAGAATATGATGACTGGCAGTCTCCGGTGGGAGATACTCAGATTCTTATCTGAAACAGGAGAATACACCACTTGTCATAGAACAATTACTCAACTGAGGCCTAAATGAAGTGTTCTTTGCCACACCACCTGTTTGCCTGTATATAATCATAATTATGTCTCTATGAGGTATGAAATTCAGTGATTCGGCCGGTCTTTTTATAGCAATGCGAATCTTGTCAGACTATTAGGGTGAATCTGACCTATGGAGGACTGATTAAATGTTTAGGTAACATCAATAAACTAAATAGCAGCAAGTAGATCTCAGGACAGGAAGTAATGCAATTAAAGGAAGGTTCAGGCTCTCATTTTCAGATAAGTGAATAAACAGCCATATCTTTTACATAGGGATTAGTACGCTACAATTACTTAGTTACATAAAACTCTCATTTCTATGGTGTTTTTCACCACGAAGTTCTGGAATTTATTGCGATCCGTTCACTTTCGAACACTAAACTTGTGGGTATAATCTTGTTGACTACTAATACCTATAACTAACTGCTGGACATTTTGTGACCTTTTAACACTAACTCATATCTGTAATTGTATATATTGTTGGATTTATATGTTCAAGTTGGCCCAAGTCAGTGAGTCTATGGTGTTCGTATCATTTTAGTCAACTGTGCCTGCATGTTGTTGTATTGTATTGTTGTTGTCGCTTTTCCCCTTTTTACTGCGAATTATTTTCCTTTTGCTGGTGTTGCTCTGATTGTTTTATTCCTTGTTTTCCGATTTTAAGGGGAGCAACCCACAAGTTCGCTTCTCTCTTAATTTTATCTTAATGTAACAGTTCCTTTCTCAGGCGTGAGGCTAGCAACCCCACCCAGTAAACAAAGTTGCTACAGAAACTTCAGTCCGATGAATGTCTTTATACCAAAAGAAAAAATCTGTGTGGGGACATGTAACTTCCGCACCATATACGAGATTGGCAAAGCCGCCCAGATCGCAAACGAAATGAAAAGATAAGGAATCCAAGTACTAGGAATATGAGAAAGCAGATATAACGGTAATAGACGCACAAAATTTTCAAAGGGTGAGTCAGTGATCTACTCCGGTCACCCAGAAGATAACCACACGCACACCGAGGGCGTGGCTATCATGATGTCACCAACGCAACGAAGGCCCTGATGCAATGGGAAGCGATCTCGCTCAGGATAATGACCGCCAGATTCAACTCCAAGGGAAGGAAAGTGTCAGTTATACAATGCTATGCAACCACAAACAACGCGGACCTCGAAAAGAAAGAAGAATTCAACAGGCAACTACAGGCAACAATGGGCAACACTTCAGCTGGTTGCATCAAAATAATAATGGGAGGCATGAACGCCCAACTGGGACCAGACAACACAGGAAGGGAACTCCTCATGGGTAGAGAAGCTCTCGGAGAAATGAATGAAAATGGAGAGCTCTTCGCTGACTTCTGCGCCTTCAACGAACTAGTGATTGGTGGCAGCGTGTACAAACACAAAGATATCCACAAGGCAACATGGGTGTCACCAGATGGGCAAACCAAAAACCAAACTGACTTCATCTCAATACTGCTCAAGGAAGTGGAGGCACAGCCTACTGGACACAAAAGTAAGAAGAGGAGCAGACGTTGGCTCAGACCACTATCTCGTACAACGGACAATCCAAATCAAATTAAAAGCTTTCAGGGAATCAGGAGCTGCAGATAGACCACAAGCCAAGTTCAACACTCAAAAACTGAAGGAGCAAGATACAAAGGACATCTTCATTGCAAACATAAGAGAAAAAGCCGAGACACAAATCAGCACTAGTGAAGAGGTCGGCGTCCAAAAGCACTGGGATAACTTGAAAACGGCGTGCAGACGAAACTGCATGGAAGTTCTGTGCAAAAAGAAGAAACAGGATAAACACTGGCTTACTACGGACACTTGGAGACTGATAGAAGAGAGAAGGATGGTGAAGCAAAAGATTATCCAGTGCACCGACGAGCAACAAAAACAGGAGTTGAATGCACGCTACAATACGCAGAACAAAAGAGTGAAGAAGAGTGCCAGAGAAGACAAAAGAAAATATTATGAAACCATGGCAAACGAAGCAGAACAAGCTGCAGGCAAAGGAGACCTCGCCACACTCTACCAAACAACTAGGCACCTATCGGGAAAACGTTCTATACAGATTAGGCCAGTAAAGGGTGACAATGGAAAGTCAATTACCAAAGAAGTGGAGCAAAGAAAACACCTGACTGAATGCTTCAAAAGACTTCTAACTCGACCACCACATACAACGCGCCCAACAATACCAACAACGGAAGAGGATCTACCAGTGAAAATCGACCCCCCGACGAAATCAGAAGTTCTGAATGCAATCAAGATGCTAAGAGCTGGAAAAGCGTCAGGACCAGGTGGAATCTCAGCGGAAGCATTTAAAATGGATCCAGAGACGAGAGCGGACTTGATGACGCCATTACTAGAGAAGGTGTGGAAAGAGGGCAAGGTAGCTGAGTATTGGAAGAAAGCATACTTATTCAAAGTACCAAAGAAAGGAGACAAATCAATGCAAAAACTGGCGCGGAATTATGCTCCTGTCCATCCCAAGCAAAATACAAAACCGCATCATACTGGAGAGAATCAAACACGCCATCTTAGATGAAAAACTCCGACTGGAACAACCTGGATTCAGGAGAAACAAGTAGTCAGGCACGAATCATAAACCAATAATGCCCAGCTCTTGCTGCACTCGAGCTCACGCTGTTCCTTGAAGTTTCTCAGAAACGCTTAGTAATAACGGACGAAAAAACCAAAACACCAATTGGCGACTCGAGGATTCTTTATTGTAACACCAACATATAAACACTGTTTCAACTAAGGTCTGTAAACAAATATTACAATAATAAATCACAATACTACTTCTGATGGTATTGTCCTGACTTCTTTATGAACAGCGACCGATGAGACGATGACTGTCGTATTGATGCCTCCGCGAAAATTGGGGAAGTTGGTTTTGAGCAAACAACCATGAATTCATCGTTCAATCTTCAACTCCATTGACACTCCCCGGCAAAAAAGGGGTCCAACCCTTTTTTCCTTCACGACCAATGCACGTTGACTTGGATTTCATTGCGAGAACCTGGGTCACACGGACAGAGCTGAAATGGAAAACAAACAGAAAAGACGCATTTCAACACTCTTAGCAATCTAAAAACTATAAATAAACTAGCAGCATGGATGCGTAAAGGCTTAGTACGGAACAAAGAGTATTAGTTTACCCTTAGATATAGGACGTGTCACTTTATCGTAACCTTCAAACGCTTGCTATATAAACTGTTTTATTCCAATGACTACCCCTACCAGAAACCATTAATTACTTCTAAAACGCATCAGTCATTAGAACACTAAAACGCTCAGACTCATTAATACACATTATGACACTAAATAAACTCTAAGACTTCGCATAAATAAAGTGAAAAGACAACTATAATTAAAAGTAATTTTTTACTTATATGTTATAAAATTGACATAAACATTTACATATATACATTAACATACTTTCAATGTTCACATACTTTCTATTTTTGGCACCCTGCTACTCCTATTCATCTTCTGGTCGAGGTCGAACAACCCTGCATCTAAACTGAAATGAGGATTAATTCCAAACCATCTATATCATAACCACTCAAATTCCATGAACGATCCAATTCTACCATTTGAAGACGCTGGCAAACATGCTGTAAATGAGTATTCATGATCTGAAATGAAGAAGCAACTGGTTTTCAACATTTTTCTGAACTTACGAATACAGTCCGCCATGCAGACACAAATGGAGCAAATGGAGAATTCTGGAATCGACCTCGGCACCATTTGATGCAGTAAAACAACCCAACATGACCTTATCTAGTTTTCGTATCCACGATCAAATTTCTTTCCTGTTATAAAACTACGATAAGACTACTGAAAAATGGAATAAATATATCACTGATCTCAACATAATACATCAATAATCTTTAAGCCAAGGGTGCTGTTCACAACAAAGTTATATAGGAGAATTGACTTCAAGCTTTATTTTTCCCAGATACCTGTATTACATTCATGTGATGTCTGGGTTTTTTGCTAATGCGAAGACAATATTTCTATATCTCTTTATGTGCTACACAAACAAACTTTATAGCAGACTGTTCTGACTGACTTTGATGTCAGAAAGAACAACCAAACTGTAAATCCATTATACATCAAATTATGTGTAATTTATATAATAACTTATCCATGCCTGTACAATTGGTATGTTCCTGCATAAACAGGAAGAAATATATATATTACCACAAGCACACCCACAGCACAATCTCACACATCGCTGACGACCTGCGCCTCTAGATAAAGGCCTCCTCTTGACATCTTGCAACACAATCGCCACTTGCTAGAATGACTCTTGCAGAACGCAACGTGACCATAGCATCAACTCATGATACTCTACGCACATCCTCTTATCTACTCATTACCAATTACCACTGAAATCGCTTATCACTCATTCTGCCTCAGTTCTAGTAGCGGTGACGCATGCGAGCCTCAGTCGTTTACACTGTTTCTCCCCGGCGTGTCGGACCGCAGCTAACAATTATCTCCGTGTGCATTTCATTCTCAGCAATAGCCTAGCCTCCCCGGCGTATACGCCCCATCTGCTGTCCTTAACATCAATCTATTCATTCATGGATGTAGAAGAGTGGACACAACTTCAGAAGTAATCACGATGAAAATTTTAACAAAATTACGCAACAACAACAAGATACGAAAACAACAAGTAAACACAATGAATCCAACAAACACCAATTGATATGACACACCACACATATATACAAACAGTACACACAAACTCGCAGTTAATGTCTTGATGGAATTCCTTTGAAGAAT